TATATATATATATATATATATATATGCATTTTTTATTTTATATTTTTCACGTCCAAAAATTGCTTGATGAATCGTTTAATCTTGCAGAATTATGGCATGCAAACGTCAGCTGAAGATATTGCGGACACAATGGCCTTGAATTCTGTATTTAAAGCTTATAAACGAAGATTACGAGAACGTGAGAAAGCAGATGTTGCGTTACCAGGATTCGAGCACATGAGTGATGAGCAACTGTTCTTTTTATCCTTTGCTAATGTAAGTTGAATTAAATGATTTTATTATTTTATATATATATTACTAACATCTGACAGTGCATGAACTGAAAATAAGTGTATCTACATGTTTTACAATTTACAGACATGGTGTGGAGTGTTAGCCCCAGAAAAAATGGAAACGAAATTAAGACAGGATTCACACAGTCTTGGTTTGTTACGAGTGATTGAATCGGTATCCAATTCGAAAGATTTTGCTGAAGCCTACAATTGTCCATTGAACAGCCCTATGAATCCTAAAGAGAAATGTAATATATGGGAATAAAGAGATTATGTATCACTAGCTGGAAAATAATAAAAAATAAATAAATATTGTTTTGAAATCCTACGCTTTCACGACAAATGTTATATTAATTTAATTATTTATATGATTATAATCTGTAGTCATTCAGAAATCAATTTGTAAACTGACATCAAGAGAAAAAAATAATAAAATTGTGAAATTCATATGTTAGTTTATTCTATCTTATTCTTATCGAATTTATAGTGTGATTAAAATTATGTGGAGTGATTGATAAAAAGTTATAAACAATAATTAAATCGTGGAGATATTTTTTCAATTTGATATTGAAAATGACAGTAATAAACTCATACCTCATTATACATTGTTCAATTTTGACAACTTCTTCTCTACAAAGCGTAATTCTTTCTGCTACAAAGTGTTACATTAGGAATTAACAATTAATTATTACTAAATAATTTACCATTACAACGGAAAGTCTTTATAACTTTTGGAATTACGTTGAAAATTCATCTGTTACACTACATATTATATATTTTCACTCACGAAAGCCAGCACATCGATAGAAATAACAATCTTTCACGACTTTCTATTTCTACAATGGAGAATGCATTTAATTAAAATTATCAAGCGTCGGCAAGAACTCTCGTTAAAAAATATTATCCATATTGAAAGGAAATGAACGGATGAATGAAGTTCCTGGATGCAATATTGAGATATTGCTGGAAAATCGCAAGAGCAAAGGATGCACATTTGTCTCCTATCTAACGCGAGAACGAAAAACTGTGCGATAGAATATTTTATCAGAAAAAAAATTTCATGGTTGTTTCCTCGGTATAAAATTCCACAGCCACCACAGTCATTCTCGTATTCACGTATATGGTGGGAAGGAAAAGACTGGATGCCACGTCGAAAGCCTAACTCGATCGCATCCTTAAAATGTTACGTCTGTTGATATTGTAAGTCTATTAACATTATACCTAGTGAAGAACGACTCGGGCCGATAAATCATTTGTTTGTACAATTAATTTCGCAAATACTTTCAGAGCATCCGTGTACGCTATCGTAAACGCCAGTCTAATACCTGACTCTCTATTAAAATATCCTCGCAATTTGCGGCGTTTGTTCGGGACTAACAATAAGTCTGCCGTTGAAGCGAAGAAAACCGAGCGCGAAGTATGTGAGACGGAAGAATGCAAGCTGATTGGTAAGTGACAGATATCTGGGAAATAAAATTTCGCCTTTTACAATACGAAGGAAACTCTCTGAATTCTATTCATTTGAAATTAAATTTCACTGACTGTCATTCATATCCCTTTTTACATACGGAATAGTAATTTATGTACCGTGTCTGAAATTTGAGAAATATTCCTTGCAGCGCAAGTAATTAAGGATAGCATCGACGAGTCGGTAGACCCATGTGATGATTTTTACGACTACGCCTGTGGTAACTGGACGAGAAGCAATCCTCCTCCTGGAAATAGGTCCGAATGGAGCTTGTGGACTATGGTATCAGAGAAAATTGACCGTCAAATCGAAGGTACACGCGCACTTGCATATACTCGATTTACTTTATGCTGAGGATAATTCTTTATGTTTAAAATATAATTCTGTGTCGCACGGTAAAAGTTACATTGAATGACATTGAACAAAAATAACGCCGTTTTCTTTTTCAGAAATAATTACAACCGAGGTAAAACATGACGATACTTTCTCGGTGAAACTTGCTAAGAAGTGGTACAGCAGTTGCTTGGATACAGGTGCATTTTCAACTGTCATTAATAATTGATCAACACATGCTCATTAATGCCAATACAAACTAATTAATAAAAATATACATTGTACAGATATATATATATATATATATAAAATAGGAAAAAATGTTGTCAACAGACGCCATAGAAAAAAGAGGGGTGGAACCACTGCTATCCACCTTGTGGAGACACGGAGGATGGCCACTTATCATGGAGAACGAAGAGTGGAACGACGACATATACAACTGGCAAATAGTCGATGACCAATTTGCTCGTCTACTGGGATACAACGCATTCTACGATTTACGTTACGATAGCTTGACGTTCGAAGTCGACGACTCTACGATAATTGTACGATCTACAATTGAGAAAGGACATCTGCCCGTTATTACGAATAACGTTTCTCCAATGTTTCAGATTTCAACGCCTCATCTGCCAATAGGTATCTATAAGCTTCTTCCGAACGAAGAAATACCCATTTTAGACAGCAGCGACGAGAACAACGAAAGTGGGGAGGGCAGTCAGGAAAAAGGAAGCAGGGAAAGAGGTCAACAAAAGCAGACTGAAGAGGATGACGAGGGAGAGAATGAATCAGACGACGACTGGAACACTGCTGAAGAAGATAATGAAGAAGAGACGGAAGAGAAGAGAAAAATTACTTTTAGAAAATTAGGTCACGTTAAAAAGAAGAAGATCATGCAGAAACGTGTGGATAAAGAGAGATTGTCGAGAAGAGCTAGAAGGAATGTCATAAGCAAGAAAGCTGCCCACAGGCCACTGCTGAAACTAGAAAGAGCCAACAAACATAAAATGAATAACGATAAAGTTCGTCGCAACGCGAGAGGAAAGTTGCCAGAGTATGGGCATTCGTCACATAGCAAATTGATTACGAAAAGACATAACGCGAAAGATGAAACGTCAAGGGAGCATTTAAGAGTGAAATTAAGCCACAATAAGCGTGACGAGGAGGAAAAGGAGATGAAGAGGATGGAAAAAGATCACGGAGAAAAAGAAGAATTACGCAAGAAGAAAATAACCTCCAGGAGGAAGATTGCCAAGCAATCAGAACATAGCGGGAGGAAGCATAATAAGGACAAATTATCGAGGAAACATAGCCACGGAAAGGAGATGACGAAGAAATTGCACAGAACTGGAATGAAAGCAAAAGTTCATGCCAGTGAAAATCATAAGCACCAGAAAATTACCGATCGCAGAATTCATCACGCTGCAAACAAGATGAGCGTTTCGAAACGTAGGCAAACGTTCAACAGCACTGAAGATACGGACGACAGTACGAATACTAGCAATGACGACGATGATAATAAGGATGAAGATAGTGCTGATAATAACGAGGACGACGAAGAAAATCGCGGAGACAACGACGATGAAGAGAACAATAATGACGATGAGGACGATGAGAGTAATGACGAAGATGACGAGGACGACGAAGAGGAAAAGCTTGAGAAATTAAGAGAAAGCTATCGGGAATATATATTAAATGTATCATTAATACTCTCTAGAGAAAGAGGAGTTCAGGTACCGAAGGAGCGAATTGTCCAAGATATCAAGGACCTGGTCGAGTTTATCATCAAGCTGGGGGAAGTAAGTAATTTATAAACTTCATGTAAATTTTATATGGGAAGCTGCAAAAATGTACTTGTTAATAACGATGTTTATCATATATTTCAGCTTGAGGTGGACGACGAAGAACCAACAAATACGACACTTCAGGAACTTCAAGCATACTACGAAGCTTTGGGTCCTATTACGCGCACTAACAGAGTAAACAATCTTATTTATTACAGGCTACTTCAATGACCTTCGCACTTGAAGTATCACTGAAATGAAAATTTATATACGATCTGCGAATGTCTAGATCAATTGGGCGAGAAAGGTGCAAAAGATATTTTCCGAGGCAGGAGTGGAACTCGACAACGACGTAGAAATTACGATAATGTTTCCCAAATATATAGACAAACTTCATACGTTGCTCACAGAAACTCCGGGAAGAACGCTTGGTAAATTGTCTGTGATACAATTGAATATTAGATTCCAATTGAAATACTAAACTTTTGCACGTTTTAGTAAATTACGTTCACTGGTCATTCATTAACAAGATAGTGATAGCTGGACCATCAGAGCTGAGAGATTTAGGTGAACGATGGAATGGAAAATTGCCATTCGATTCGAGGTTTGTACAGTTTTCTTCAACACCATCCTCGTTATAAAAGGAAAAAGAAAACGATTACTTTTTATTACTTTAATTCTCATCTGTACAGAGAGAAGGCGTGCTTAATGGCAGTGCAATTGACCAAAATAGCAGGATACGAATACGTAAGGAGATATTTCTCAGAAGACATAGCAAGAACGGTAATTACTTGAAAGCAATAACTGCTTAATGTGAAAATTATTCTTCCTTCGTGAATTATTACTCGTTATCCTTAAAGGGTAGAGACATGATCGATGACATACAAAAGGAAGTCGAACATCAGATTAAATCGTCAACGTGGATGGACGAAGATACTAGACACTTTGTCTTGGACAAATTGGTGCACATGAAGAACTGGATTGGCTATCCAGATTGGTACCAAAACGCCACGCTCGCAAAGCGCTTCTTCCAAGGGGTAATTTTATTTTCAAAGAACAACCAACGATGCCAACTCGAATGTGTAACTTGATAATTACATCAATCGTTTTAAAGCTCACGATTGGTACCTCATTCTACGAAAATATTCTGAGCTACATCAGATACATTAGGTGGAAGGATTTACGGAGAATACTGCATGACGAGAGTGACAACGTGATGGAGTATTATTTCATTTAAAAATAATAATGACTTAAATGTCATACTTAAATGTTAATATTTATAGTTATGATTATTTGTAGCGAGATGATGGATCCATTGGAACTGAATGCTTTCTTCATGCCAACAGAAAATTCTATAGGTATGTACGCATTCCTGTAATTAGGTATTCTTTTCTTCGTTGCTAATAAATGATATAAATTATTTTCTCCTACTGCAGCAATTACCGCGGTAGACTTCCAGAGTCCATTTTTTGCTCATGATCGACCTTGGTAAATAATTGATTCTGCAATATTTGCACATGTATTAATGCACGTTGCATTAAAGCTATACATTTCATTGCTATTACTGAACGCAAACTTTAATTCTCAGGTACGTGAATTTCGGTATTATCGGATACATTATGAGCCACGAAGTAAATCACGGATTCGACGATTTTGGTGAATCATTACGAGATACTTGAATGAAAGATAACGAATTGACGAATAACGAGCAACGTGTAACGTGAATCAATTGAAATTAGGTCATCTTTACGACAAAGATGGGAATCAAATGGAATGGCTGACTGCAATGGCACAGGCATACGATGAAAGGGCAAAATGTTTCGTGGACCAATACAACGGTTATAGTATCATCAAGGGAGAAAATTACACGATCGAGGTGAAGCTTTCATGTTAATTTGAATTTCCATAGACGTATCGTCATTTATTTTCTATCCTACGTCTTTAGAGTTTAGAAATTATGTTAATAATCGAGAAGAAGATAAATTTAATAACAAGAACAGAGAAATAATAAAGAAAATTAATAAGTTTGACACAGTGTTGTGTTGAAATTGTTTTATAAAATTCATTTCAGAATTATGGCAATCAAACCTCCGGTGAAAATATCGCGGATACAATGGGCTTGCAGACTGTGTTCAGAGCTCATAAACGAAGGGAACGACAATGTAAGAAGCAGGATCCTGTCCTACCAGGGCTCGAACGATTCAGCAATGACCAACTTTTCTTCCTGTCATCTGCAAACGTGAGTCTCTGCCTGCCACACTTTCCCAATTATAATCAATTTAAATTTAAATCCGTACGTCCTGGCATTATACATTCAGACAGATACTATTTCTTTTTTTTTTTTTTTTTTTTCGGAGAAATTTTCAGAAAGAAAAGATCAGGAATTTTTACTTACAGTTGTGGTGCGAAACAGTGGAAGATAAAGATATCGTAATGTCCAGCGCCAAATACGACGTGCATAGTACAGCACGTTTGAGGGTAATTGGTCCGATGTCAAACTCAGCAGATTTCGCTAGAGCTTTCAAGTGCCCGGTAGGTAGTCCCATGAATCCTGAAAACAAATGTAACATATGGGAATAATGTAACATATCTCATGTTCTATTATCAACAACGTAACTTCCTTTTAAAAATAGAGCATAGCGATTTGCACGTCACTGTCTACAATAAATCTATCACCTTGTTCTATTCTTCTGTAGTTCTTGCAATTATTTTACTAAACATGAACACTGTACATGCAAACGTCTCTCGCAGATTTTTTTTTTTTTTTGATCCATCGAATTCAACCTTGCTTCTTTGCCACCGTCGGCTTTCTATAATAAGTGCAATTACTTTTTATCGCGTGCTGCCTTGAACAGGGATGGCTACATTAAGGCTTCAAGGTAGCGATTCTGGTTTTACGAGGCAGGTAAAATCAGACTGTAATATCTGACTTATACACGTTTTATTAGCAACGATCGTAACGTAATCTCAAGTAGAAGAAACGTTCGTTCAAATTGTGAAGATTAACCTTGAGAGAGATCTTCAAATCACGTACCGACGATGATTATTTGCAAAATATTTGCACCGGGGAAAACGGCGGCTCGTGGAAACGTGGCTCGCTCGAGGGAGAGATAGAAGTCTGTCCGGAGAAGAAATCGAAATGATTATCGCGAATAGTATGGCAAGGAGTATGGTAAGAGTGCGTTAACCGGCAATAAGTCATCCGCGTTATATCAAAAGTGTAAGCGCCTAACCGCATTGCATCGTTAACGGCGCGAGTGTTGCAATTCGGTGAGACAGTTGTAGATCGATGTAGGGACAGTAAATTAGATCAGGCAAAGGAACATTACCTAACTGTAGCACGAGCGCTCATCTTCAGGCACAGGCCTCCAACACTTTCACAGATCAAATAGAAGTGGTGAAACTCCTCGATTATACCGGTGTGCATCGAATGCATACATACATACATGCATACACACATACATACATACA